TACTTAGTAAGTATATAGCTAAAATTAATATTCAAAATTTTATTAAAAAATTTAAATATTAAAAAAATTAGTAAAATTCTTCGCAGGCAAATTTGCCTGTGTTACAATTTAAGAGATATAGTATAAGATAATATGAGATTTAATATTTCAAATTATGTAGTCATCAAACAATACTGTATAATAATAGACAATCTGTATTTATATCATTTTATTAATACATAAGTATATAATGATTAAATTACATATTAATAAATATATAACGATGAATTATACCAAATTCAATTTCTTTTACTAAAAAAGCGAATCCAGATTTTTTTCATTTTTGAAATAATGCAAAATTCCAAATCTCTAAATTCATCTTTAGATAGTCAACTTTCTGATTCATCTCCTATTAGTAATACACAATTCCAAAAAAGTAGTAAAATTAACAAAAAGCCATGAACAAATCAAAGTCACACAAATTATTTTTTTCAGAAAGATGAAAAGAACTCACAAATAGTTTATTGCAAAATTTGCACTAAGAACTCAGTCGATAGTTTTAAAAAACTTTATCCTTATACAAGAAAAGGTGAAAATACTACAAACTTAATTGGTCACTTATGGGATAAGCATAAAATTACTAAAATGAATTATCAGCAATATTTGAATGCTAATAACGAAGTAATAATCATAATATAATTTTTAATTAAAAATTTTAAACTAATTATATTAATAATTTTATTAAATATAATAAATAATAAGTCCACGGCATACAATGGCCAATTGATGATCGAAGGGGTATCTTTAATCGATACAAAATTCCTAGTAAGTTAGGAATCCTGAGAGAGATAAACAGTTGTTATGGCAAGTCACATTGGGCAAATAGCCTGGTGAGTCTTTATTAGAATAGAGTGTTATACTATATTGATGTAGTACTTTGTATATTAGTCATATAGTAGTTCATAAAATAAATAAAGGCAGGACCGCTTAATATAAAAAAAATAATAATAATAAGTTAGCTTATTGAAACATGTGATGATATATCTTATTGTTTGTTGGAAAAGCAAGAGCTTGTGACTTGCAAGTTAATTACTTTTATTGTTAAATTCATCCAACCACTATATATTTTGGAGGATGAATCTTTTTAAGACTTGATGATAACATGTGTACCTGGATATAAAATTCCTTTTGTAAAAATGGCAAAAGATTTAATTTATAATGTATATCATTTAAGTAAAGGTCAACTAAAATCAATAATGGATATAGGTGTAGAAACAATACATTTAACAACGGATTTATGGACTGCTAAATCATAGCATAGATACCTTGGAATAACTGGTATTTTGTTAACTTCTAATTTTGAATTTTGTGAAGTTCTTTTAAAATGTAGACACTTGTCATATCCACACTCTGGAGAAATAATTAACCAAGAATTATACAAAGTTATTCAAAAATGGAATTTACAAAGATCAGTTTTTACTATAGTAACTGATAATGGTTCAAACATGATTTGTGAAATAAATTTACTTTCAAAAAATTATTTTTCCTCAGTTATTAGACAGCCCTGTGTAGCATACAATTACAGCTTTCTGTACAAGAGGGGCTTAAACAATGTAAAGACTTTCATCAACGAATAAAAAATCTGCAAACCTTTTTTAAGCTTCCAAAGCAAGCAGAAAGGCTTCGACTAGCTCAAAATGAACTTAATTTATTATCTCAACTAGATGCAAATATAAATTTATTAGATATTTTGGATAATACTAGAACTTGTTAGAATTCTACATATTATGCATGGAAACGTGTTCTTGAACTTCATAATGCAATATGACATGTTTCAAATTCCTTACTTTTAAGTTCTGAACGTTTGCTACAAAAAGAAGGCAAAAAATTAGAACAACTTTGTCTTACATTGGATAAAATACAGTAAGTTTTAAAAAAATTTTATCAAGTACATATTTCAGAAATTCTTATATACAGTTTTATTTTTAAATAAAAATTATTATAATTTATATATATAAATAAAAGCTGTATACAAGAACTTTTGAAATACTCAATATATAAGTAAATAATTATTAATAAATTAGTTTAATTTATTAAAATTTATTTTAAAATATTTTTAGATTTCTCAGAGATATTATAAATATGTTGGCCTCTTTTGAAAAAATTACACAACATATTTCTGGTGCAACTTATTCTACATTTAGTATGATTCATCCTTATATAGAAATACTTAAAAGATCATTTGCACCCCGATTAGATAAAGAAGAAACAAAGACATTGTACCTTGAATTAGTTTATAATTGTACGCTTAATGATGATAATAGTACTGATCTTAGTTCAGATTCTATTAGTGATGATAATGATATACCAAGTAGTAAGCTTGCCAACATTGGCAATATACTCATAGACATTACCATCAATATATGAAAAATAAAAAAGGAAAATACGAATAGGTGTTAAAAGAAAATATCAATCAAAAAAAAAAAATCTCAAATTAATAATTTAGACAATATCAATATGGTTGAATATTTATCTTCCGTTAATCCTGATAGTTTATTACAAAAAGTTCATGCTACTATCTTTTTGTCTTTAGATGAGCTTTGGGATATACTATCAGATCTGGCTTTGATTGCATCTATTCTTGACCCACAGTTCAAAACTTTTTAGTGAGTACCGGAATAATTCAAATATGCAAAAATATTACTTGAACGGTCTTATAGTGAAATAAAAATAGCACTTGAATTATTAAACTTAAATAATTTTTCAGGTGAATCAACAAATAATTTAAAAATTAATGTTGATGATGATGATATTTTTAGTCAATTAAAAATAACACCTTGACAAACATCAGAATTAATTAAATTGGATGAAGTAATACGTTATTTAGTATTAGAAAGTATAGAGTTTGATAAAGATCTGATGAAATGGTGGCAATTACATAAATCCGAATTACCAATTCTTGTACAACTAGCCAGAAAATATCTTTCGATTCTAGCTTCTTCAGTCCTATTTGAAAGGTTATTTTCAGATGCAAGCAACCTTATAATATCAAAAAGAACACAGCTAGCATCAGATCTAGTAAGTAAATTACTATTTTCAAAGAGAAATAGCAAGTATGTTAAATTTTTTTTGTCACAATAATACTTTAGTTTGTATGAAAACAAATCTTGTATAAACAATTGTTTTGCTAACTTACATGTTGTACAAATGTGCTTCAATATATTAATACTATGTGCAAATTGCTTTACTAATAATTTTGATGTTTTTTTTGCAAAGCCGCTATTTATAATTGTTAATAATAAAATTATTTTATAAAATCTTAATTGCTATTGTTATGAATTTTCATCTAATTTAAAACTTTATGTTTTTATATAATCAAACCTGCAAAATTTTTTGACAAATTTTTAAAATTGAATTTTTTTTACGACCTTTTAATAGAATTAACACTTTTATAGCCAGTGTGTAATGAATAAAATTTATTAAAAAATAAATTAACAATTAGCTAATATAAATTACTACTTTTTAAAACAATATTTAAATTTCACATGAACAAGATAAATGAATTTAGTTCTTGTTGATCAATCTATCATGCAACCCGATTATAATTCGGTTTGAATCCTATCTAGTTTACCTTAAATAATAACCAGTTACATATTGTATACAAATCCAATTTGGGTCTTCAACTTTACAACCAGTTCCGACCTCTAGTTCAGGTCCCCCAAAAACCTCATGAAAACTGAAATTGGAACTTTATATTAGCTTTATATTATATTATATATAAAAAAAAAATTTTAATACCCGAACTCTAACTCTAAAATTTAATTATATATGGTGCTAAAACACCATAGGTGTGTTTTATAATAATTATATATTTTAATCAATTTTGGTTGATCTATAGTATATATATATATATATATATATATATAAGATTATAATATATAAAAATATAATTTCAAAACTAGCAGAAGGTAAAAAGTAAACTCTACACTAGAAAGAAGCGACAAACATATCAACAAACTCAATAGAACATAGAAAAAGGCTTTAAACACAGGCCTGTACTAGAACAATTACTTGGTAGTAGTCTAAACAAGTGAGAAAAACAGTATTTCTCGATTAAAGAAAGCGCACAGTGACAAAACTCAGGCAAACCAGAGTTTAGCTCAGTATAGGCAACAAAGCTGTACCAGTACAGTGAAAGAAAGCTAAACTAATTGTAAATCACAGTACATCTTCAGTTCAAAAGAACAAAGCAGTCAAATATCTTAGTATAAAGCCAAAACTTGATATTTTTCATACGTTTAGAAAAATAGTGTTAACCCTGTAGCACCGATCCCTGGTATAACACAATTACTGCAAACATCGACATGTAGCAACACGGAAGCTTCTACAAAAAAATTACACGTAAAATCACGTCAAAAATACATAAAAACACGTATGACACATACTGAGTTTAAATTATATAATTTTACTATAGAATAGCTATAGCAATATTTGTTAATATGAGTCACATGCACAAAATGAATACTAAGCAGCCAGAAGTCACAGAGATAGACTGGGGGCACAAGATAAACAAGTATAAGAACATTTTTAAAAAATCAACAGATAATTTTAACATGCTCAAAGAGGAGCACCTAGTAGAATGTCTTAAAAAAGACAATGAAATAGCGGCTTTTGTAGGAGCCGAGCCACAACTAATATGCTTGTTTAGGTGTTTAATTGAAACTTATGACTAGTTAGAGTATCTGAGAATCAAAAATAGGGAGAATGCTCGACTAATAAACTCAAATGAAAGCGAAAAAAGAAAGAAGATATTAGTTAACCAGGAATGCAGCACGTTAGATTATGGTATACAAGAGAAATTAAAGTCGCAACAGTCCAAAACTAACGTCCAAACAAGAAAAAGAAGTGCGAGCCTAATAGAAAAGGAAAAGAAAATCAAGAAAACCTGCAAAAAAGAAGATGATATAGTCAAATTATTCGACACACCTAAAGTACACAGTACAGAATCACTACCTGTTAAATCTACTAATAAGGATACCCAAGACAATACTCCGAAGATAGGTATTATAAAACTATAAAAGAAGGAGGCAAAGATACAGAGGCTCCAAAAATCTGTTATACTCTTTGGGACATACTAGCAGAAGTTAAAGCAATGAGAGTGCGAAGATGTCTGCATTTTTATAGTCGAGTATAATTTAAACACTGGGAATTTGTAGAAACAAAGAAAGCTATCTCCTTCAATATAACTTTCTGGAATGAAAAAAGAAAAGCTATGTTTACAAATGCCTGAGCTGTGCATTTTGAAGAGGGTAAGATGCTAAGATTATCAGAAGGGGTATTCGACAAGTCCATTCTAGATGAAAGAGGAAGATTTAAAGCGATTCTAAAAAATATCCCAAAAACAGCACTCGAAACTATACTGCTAAAACAGTTAAAGCTAGTCAGCAAGCAGTGTATATTTCACACAACCGGAACAAAAATCAAAGAAGCACAGTATCTGTGGTTTTTAAATCAGAAGAAGAGCTATTAGTAGCACTGGCAAAAAGAATATATTACTACAATACAAGACTAGAATGGGTACAACAGACGGTATAAAAGAAGAATCCAACAGTTCCGCCTTCAACAAAAAAGGAAGATCCAGGAATCGTTCACTTAAACAGGAAAGAGAAAGTGCAGCAGAGAGAAAAGAAAATTCTTATACTTGGAATGGAGATAGCAAAATCAAAGCAACCAACAAATTAGACGCTTCTGTTTCATTATTGAACAAAAGAAACAAAAATAAGGAGAATATAAAACCCAACTACAGAAACTACAATGAGGGGGCTTCAAAGAACTAGCCAACTCATGAGGATATGGCTCAATCCATGCTACTGCAAATTATAGGCAGACTGGACAAGCTAGAAGGTCAAGACAGCTTATCTCATATAATATCCGCAAGGATGATCTTGCGAATCACTCCTAAAGGCGCCCCAGATGCAACAATGAAACCCCTAGAAACAAACGAGGGGGTCGAGAGTAAAGGCGAGGTTGTGTCCCCGGAAAATGAAGGTAGATAGGAGACATTTGGAAAGAAAAACAGATACGAACAATTTTATATGATGAACATTGGGTTTCACAATATCAATGAATTAAAAAATAACAAGAATAAGTTAAAAGCGATCATAAATTATGCAGGGGAAAAAAAAATTGATATTCTTGGTTTGGAAGAAACAAATATTAGCAGCAAAGAAGGCTTCTTTACAACAAAAGACAATGACACATATATTAGCATATGGGCAGACTCCGACAAAAAGAAGAAAAAAAGATCTAAACTTGGGGTACTAATCAGGAAAACATGTGAACAACATATCACATCAATAGTCAGAGATAACCCATATTATTTAAGTTTAGTATTAGACTTTAGAGGTATCATATTTAATATTATATATATACATAGCCCCAAACAACAAAGAGGTGCAAGAGGTGATCTTACAAAAACTGAAATATAGTATTAGTCAACATAGAAGAAAACCATAGCGACATGTGATATTAGGAGACCTGAATGTAAGTACAAAAGGTTCTTTAAGTGATGACCCTAGTAACACAAGCACAACATTAGAAAATTTTTTATATAGATACATATCGATATATAGCAAAAAATTGATATATATCGATAAGATAAAAACGGCATTTATCGATAATATTACCAATAATCGATATATACTGGTAATAGGTATATATCGATAAATATCCTATCATCGATATATATCGATTTTATTTATATCAATAGTAATCGTGTAATAGATATATATCGATAGTTGTATTATCTA